TAAGGCTTTCGACGTTTTGATTGAACTTTACTATAGGTTATCGATGGCCCGGAATCCGAATCCGAAGTCGTGTTCTTTGACCGAGCTTCCGTTGGTTCGAAACTGAGCCAATGAAAAGCTAGCTTTTTTATTGTAGGACTTTTTGCGTGTTTTAGTGGAGCTTTGACAGAGGTTATCAGGGGCCAGGAATGCAAATTCGTTATCGGTTTTGAAAATCCCAAACTTTTAGTTAAGACCGTTAATGCTAGTTAAGCTTGGTTTGGATTAGTTAAGGGTAGTTAAGGATAGTTAAGAGCAGTTAAGTGTAATTGAAACCAATTATAAATTCAGTCTAGTGAAGTTAGTGGCATATGGAAATAGTTAAATAAGTGTGTCTGCGTTTGCATGCTATCAGATGCTCCGATATATTCCTGGAACGCCGGGTAAACTATGGATAAAGCCTATGATGTCAACGCTATTGTGAGCTAAGTATACTTTTTCTTAGTTATTTCTTATTCAATGGAGTTTCTCGATGCTGAGATTTCAGCTAAGCAAATATTCCTCTAAGTTTGTTCCGTTCAATAAAGTTTCTCTTGCTTCGAGTTTAACAAAACAGATATTTTGGTTATGAGAGTGTCGTTCCGGTGATATTTTCTTCTTTGGCTCTTCAATATTCAGGTGTTTAGCGTATCATGGTGCCGCCCAATCCTTTTTTCTGTGGTTGAAATATCAGCTTATAAGCGTTTTTTGGTGTTTGTGTTTCGTCTTAGCAGTTTTCGGTACCGAATTTATAGGCAACAATGGATTTTTTTCAGAAATAACTTTGATTCAATCGAAGGTTTCATGCCTAGAAGTGAGCTAGGTATATGAAGTCACTTGTCATGTTTTTTCTGTGTTGAGTTTTGCTTCGTTAAGGATGAGCAATCAATCCCATGTCCGCGCTGATATGTCAGAAGCGTTCATATAGCGTATTTTATTCGTACACAGTTTCATGTTAGCTTTAGTGTTTCCAATTTCCAAGCAAGAGTCCTGTCACTAATAATCCAATATTTTCTGTGAAAGGAGGGAAAGTACTATTTGGATCGATTGTAGATAAAAGGGGATAATGTGTATAGGAGTAGGTTTAGCATGGAAGCGGCTAGCTGTGAGTGGCGTTCCGAAGGGGCGCTGACGAACGAGTAGCTGCTAATATCCACGTGTCACTGCAAATGTGTGGCAGGAAAGATGTGTACAGAATATAGTATATGTTTTGAGAATATCTCACTAAGATTCCGTCGAATAAGAATGGCAATATAACGGTGATTGTCGCGAGAGAGCTCGAATTCTGCAAATAAGGAATACTTACGACAAAATCTTCTCATATAAATCCAATAATTTATCGAAATAAGCCGAATCTGAATCGGCTAGATTGTAGAAAAAGCGGGTGATCATTGGTGAAATAGACTTAAGCACGTAACCGGCTAGTCGGGAGTGGTGCTGACGAACGACTAGCCATTCACGTGAAGAGTTGAATGATTGAACGCTTAAGACGATTGTGATTCATAAAAAAATCCTCTACTGAATGGATTCGATCGATTAAAACAATGTCCGAGTGGCGCAAACTGAAAAAAGTTTTGTTCCAATTGAAGTCTACGAAGCAGTTGTGCTAAGAAAGCAAATCATCTGACATTTTTTTTTGCGAAAAATATCGTTTAATTTATTTCTACGTATTAAAGTAGTTTTCTTGTTCTCTGTACTGAAGGAAGGATGACATAGAAAAATGAGTTAGCTTCCTTGTTCTAAGCAATCAGTTGCGTCTCCACGATCATATTTCATGGGCGTCGCTGCAGGACACTCTTTCCCTAGATAGTTGAACAGCTACCCTAGTGTATTAAATTTTCCTTTGAGAAGTCTGGCGCTATTTGTCGAAGAATTTTTAGCAGCAAGACAAAAATGTATCGGTTGGATTGTAAATGAAAGTATGCGATCCATTGGAGAAGAAGAATTAAACAACTGAGCGGCTAACTGTGAGTGATGCCCCGGAGGAGCGCCGACAAACGACTAGCCGCTCGATGAAAAGGTTAATTGCAGATATGTTTTGAAAAACAGCCGTATAAGATCTAGCAAGCTTCTTGAATAGATCCCAATTAGATTTCGTTCATGAAGAATTATAGAATAACGCTGATGTTCGAGTAAGGCCCTAAAACTCAAGACATAATACTTCGCAGCAAAATGTTGTGTTTGAAATTTCCTCTCGAGAAGTCGTCTATGTATAAATATAAAAATAGTAGGTACTGAATTGTCTGTATTGTTGAAAAAGGTAGATGAATTTTTAGGAGGGAGATTTAAGCATGTGAGCGGCTAGTCGTGAGTGGCACCCCGATGGCGAGCCAATGAACGACTGGTCGCTTATTTCAAAAGTTGCTGGAAAGAAGGTTTCAAGCTACTAGAATAAATAGAAAAATCTCCTATCGAATCAGTCTGCTCGGATGGATTAGGGTACGAGAACAACAGAAAACTGAAGAATTCTTTTTTTTTCAAAAATAACTCTCGGAAATAATTTTTGTCTAGACGCACAGTATCTCATAAGCGCATCTCGTAGAAAAAGAATCTGAGTATTTTTATTAATGCTGTGTTCGTGCGCGTGAAAGAACAAATTTTTGAGTGGTTTAATGCAAAGAGCGATGATTGTGAAAATCGAATTTAGGATAACTGAAATACACAGACAATATCAACTTTCTTCTACGCTCATTTTCCATACGAAATCTATACAAAATAACAGTTAATAACCGCTTCCAGGTCATTTTCTATCTTAAATTAAAAATACTGAGTATTTTTCTGTATGGTTAGAGTCTGTGTCAGATCTAC